GAATTTGATGTCTTAAAATATCTGTGGCTCAAAATGATGAATATAAGTCATGAAGAAAGTACACTATAGTTAAAAGAGGGTATGATTGGAGTCTGCATAGCATAGAAGCTTGAAACCTGAGCAGGGAACAATTACACAGATAAATGACATCTTTGCATCTCTGCAATTCAGGTGGGGTACCTACAATTTCTATATACCTATGTTCTCTTTTTATTAGTTGTAGAAACACTAAGAAATAAACCTTAATTCAACTTCAAGTGCACCCATACCATTTCAGATGGTATTTTCCAATAAAGGGCACTGTTTCTTTCAAAGAATATTACATCTCTCTAATTGTCCTACAAATCCCATTCTCAATTAAAATCAAAATCTTTATTATAACAACTTCACTCTATAGCTTGCAAGATGTTTTCTTTCTCATCTGTTCAGGGGACGATGCTCTGGATACATCTTTTACTGAAAGGAGCTGCCCTGGTGAGAAAAATTTACAGCAATTGATTTTGTTTGTTTGTGGCTGAAACCATTAAAAGCTCCCAAGCAAAGCTAAATAGTGCTTGTGGGGCACAAGCATTGTTATTCACAAACAGCAAGTTTTATAACATTGTTAATACTAGACAATAAGATGAGGTGTAATAGCTCCTATTTTATCATTTATCTCTTTTTTCCACTAAATTGTATACTCCATCATGCATATGCTGGCTATAATGTGACATATTCAATTCTACATTAAGTCTTTGCTTTGTTACATATACACAAAAATAGCAAGTCAGCCTCTCAAACAGCACGTACCATCCCTCTAACAGTTTTTTGTTGTTGTTGTTGTTGTTGTTGTTGTGTTTTTTTTCTTTCCTAATCCAAACTAAGTTTGAATAACTGTAATGGTGGGAAAATCTATCCCAGGGTTGATTCTTTTTATAGCGAACTGGCAAACCAGGAAGAATAGACTTTGTCATGTGCAAATATGGTGACCATAAATGGTGCTGGAGGCTTTTTCCATTGTCCTCTGACTTTGCCATGAGAGAAAGCAAGCAAGAGAAAGAAAGACACGTTTGATAGAGTTGTGAAGAATGTTTGAATGGCTATTGGGTGTTGAGCATTGTCTTGCAATGACCTCAATTCGGTACAGTAGAGACCCTTGAAAGCACTGTCTGAAGTCACAATACCACCATTCTCCTCCATTTAGCAAAAGGGATTAGTTAAAAGGGTGACGTTCCGTGCCGAGAGTTCCAAGTATTCCATGAAACAAAAGGCTCTGAAATGTTTTTGAAGTTATTTTTAATTGAGTTGAACTAATTTAATAAAGGTCCCAAGGAGGGAAAAAAAATAAAGGAATGTGATTGTTTTATGATTCCTCACAGATGGAATGGACATTTATAGCATACTTCTCCTTTAGTGTTCCAGAGAACAGTAGCTCCATTTACAGCTACTGTTAGCAATTTAAAACTGCTCCAAAATGAAGTCTTTCAAGAAGTTGACAGCTTATAAATAAATCTGTCTGATAAAATTGAACATAAACTGCATCTGTGGTTAGTTTGCCAAAATTAATTCTACATTTAATTAGAGATAGCAGTCAAACATATTTAATAAAAAACAGTCTTGGAGAGTAAATCAAATGAAGTCAGATTTTAGCAGACGCTTTGGTTTGTTTTTTTTTTTTTTTTGCAAGGAGTGATGAAATGACCTCACCTCTATGATTCCCAGTAATATGGCAGAGTGGACGCTGTAGGGTTATGGGGAAAGCCAGTGAATTCACATCATTTGGGAAAACCACTTAAGCAGCTTAGAGCAAGGAAAGAAAACAATCATTTTGAGATTTCTCATGATGCTCACATTTGTTTTTTCTCTGATGTAGCATGTATTAAAATAACAAGTTAATAAGCCTGTTAGTTTTAGTGAGCCCAGGGATCAGGCTAAGACATTCCTGAGTTTTACATGAATGAGAACATCAAGTTATCTTTAATTTTTTTTTCATGGGCGCTCTTGACAGTTTCTTCTAAAATTTAACCCAACAGTGAGCTGTGGTAAAAATACAAAAGGTGCAATTCTATTTCTTCCCCCACAAAGACTTAAATATTCAGGATTTGATTATGAAATACTTGTGCTCATTCTACACATCTTTAAGCAAAGATGCATATAGCTGTAATGTTGTGATGGGGAGGGAGGAACAGAGACGCAAAAGCAAATAGACCAATTGAGGTTATAGCAATGAATCATTTGGAACAAAAGTAAATTGCAGTCCAAGAGGCAAAGAGGCAGATTTCAAATAGCGAAAGGCTCTGCAAACAACAGCCATAGTTACAAACTAGTGGAAAATAGGCACATTATTCATAGGACTAGTCATATCTCTTTTCTGTCATGATTAGTTAGAGTGTCATCAGTGACATATTCAGCTATGGACAATGATTTTATATGTATATGTTCATATAGAGCAAAGTAAATAAATGTGCATTTTCATTAAAATGTACTCCCTTTCTTTTTTATATTAACTTTTAGCAAGATAGAAGTTATTCTTATTATTTATTTAACAGAAATGTTTACTTTTAGAAATATTTACTATCTCTCCATCTCACTGATGCTGTGCCTCCCCATCTTCTCCTTAAATGAAAAAATAAAACCCTCATAGCAAGTATGCTTAGTCCAGCAAAAGAAATTCCCACTTTGACCATGGCCAAAAATGTATGTCTCATTCTACATTTCAAGTCCATCACCTCCCTGGTAGGAGATGAATAGTATGCTTTATTTCTGGTCCTCTGGACTCATAGTTTTTCATTGCATTGGTCAGAGTTCTAGATTCTCTCAATTTTTTTTCCTTCACAATATTGTTGTCATTGAATAAATTGCTCTCCTAGTTCTAACTTCATTCTACATTAGATCATAGAAAATTCCATATTTTCCTTTGAAACTATCCATTTTGTCATAATTCATATATCATAATTTGGCCATTCAAAAACAGGTTGGTTTCTAGTTTCTAAGTTTCTACGAAAATTGCTGAATATGTATATATATATAGATGTATATATATATATGTATGTGTGTGTATACACACACATACACACACACACATACACACACACATACTCCACTGTAGCTAAGAACTTCCCTTAAGCAATATACTAGCCTTAGCCTCCCCAGTAAAAGGGACTACAAGCATACATGCCTTGCTATAACGATATTTTAAAAGATAGAAATTCCAACTGAAATATTGAGTTGAGAAGCCTTTTCAATTTGGTCCGAGAATGATTATTCTATTTTTAAGATTGATCTTTGGAATCTCACGTATCTCACAATGGTTAATTATTTTTATTTCAAACAATTTCTTAGTACTAGAGTATAGGTTATTAGAAATATAATTATATGTGCCCTTAATCAAGGCAACCAAACCACTGTATTTAATTTTTATTTTAAACATATTCATAGGACCTAAATATATAAATAATGCAGTTCATTGGATAGAGTACTATCCAATAGAGTTCATGACAAGGTACTATGTTCTACTGCCACTGTACTGTGAACTTTTGTTATCATGTATTTAACTTTATAGTCAAGCATCAAAACTAACAACCCATTTCATGTAAGATGTCAGATTAACTTCCTTCTGCAGTAACCATGTATTAATTTTCTGGCATACATTGTTATTAGCCCTGACCAAATGACCCTCCTCAAGACTTATTTAACCTAAGTGACTGTTTGTAATATCAGTTTTAAGGGGAAATTAGTTAGAAGGATTTCTTCGCATCAGTATTAATAGGCAAATGGCTCCTCAGAAAGCCCTATGACAAAAAATAGGAAAGAAAAGAGTCTCTATATATTGCACCTATTCACTAAATTTGGTCGCATATCACACCTTTGCTCATCTTATTGAATGATTTAGTGAGAAGATTTTTAAGCATAACCAAAATATAGTGAAAAGGGACTTTTTTTTTTTTTTTACTGTTATCTTGATTTAGAGCATGGCTGTTGTACTGAGCTACCCATAGAAGACTAATGATAAACATGTAGATTTATTTAGTCTTCCTAAGATACTTAGGCATAGTACTGAGGTACAGAGCTGAGAGCATCTATCTGTCAGAGCAAAATTTTGGTAGAAAAGAAAGAGCCTAAACTTAAGAGTACCGGGCTTCCAATCATTGTTCTGCTATGTAGTACCTTGCATGACCTTGGACAAATCATTTAATTTCTCTGGGCCTGTTTCCTCATCTTTAAAATGAAGGCATTAGATTAGATTGTTCTTTTTTGCTTTAAATTCCATGGTCTATAAAATCCTGTGCAGGAATTCCTTTCATTGAACTACTCTTTTAAGTTATTAAACAATATCTCTCCTTCCCATCACTTAAAAACTTCTAGAAAGTGAAATATCTATTACTGCCTCAACTTATTCATTACTCTCATAATGCTACCTTACCTGTTGTCTTCAAGGTTAACTGTCTTTTTTCAGTGCACATCTTCCTCAAGCTTTCTGACGCATTTGAAACTAACCACTTAATATTTCTTAATATATTCTTTCCTCAAGGTTTCCATGACACCCCATACTTATCTAACAACTTTATCTCCATATCTTTTGCTGATTCATCTTCATCCTCCTCTGGGTGAACTCTATACTCCTCTTTTTTTTTTTTTAAGGCAATGGGGTTAAGTGACAACTTGCCCAGGGTCACACAGCTAGTAAGTGTTATGTATCTGAGGCCGAATTTGAACTCGGGTCCTCCTGAATCCATAGCTGGTGCTCTATCCACTGTGCCACCTAGCTACCCCTATACTCCTATCCTTAATCCTCTTCTTTTCTCCTCTTCTTTCTCTTTGTCAAAAATCAATCTTCTAAGGACTTCAATGAACTATACTGATGATTCCAAATCTACCAGAGATTCCCTAAGCTCCAGTCCCCCAATTGGATTATTTGAATTTTTTTTGGTAATTGTGATGATTTATCTTTCTCTGGCTTCTGCTTGGGATGTCCATAAGGGGAATAATATGTTTACCTCTGTTGTTGTTTTGTTTTACAGGAATGCCTCAAATGCCTTTCTTTTGTTGAACATCCATCCATTTCACCGCTGATTGGGCTCAGGTTTGTAGGATATGCCATTTTCAATTGCAGCTTGGGCTCCTTTGCTTTTTTGGAATATACTGTTTTCTTCCTTTTTGCAATTTTTCATGCATGAAGAATAGTGCTATATAATTCAGATTATTTGAAGGCTTTTCCATTGGCTACTTGCAAACTTTTTTTGTTTGTTATGGAAAATATTAGCTTTATTACATGTTCTACACTTTGATCTATTTTTTTTCCTTGATTGCTACCTGTGGATTCCCTTCATCAAAACTTCACTGTTTGTATTGGGTATTTCTATGATGTTTTCTTGTATTATTTTCTATATTACATTATTTAGGATCTTTGTTTTTGGTTTGTAATATTCTTCTGTGTGATCTATGATCTCTAAATTATATTTGTGAATCTCTTTTCAAGATCATTTACTTTGGCTTATGCAGAATTCATGGATATTTTAACATTATTGCATTTTGCTTTTCTTCTCTTAAATTTTTCTCTGCTTCAGTTTTTTATATTCTAATTATTTCTCTTTTTCTTTGTCTCTCTCTTGCACTCTCTCTCTCTCTCTGCCTTAGCTTCTAGTTTTTTAGAGAGATACTCTATCATGCATATATATAATATATATTTCTATTTCTAATTACTATTGTAAATTAATTTCTAATTTGTTTCTCTTTTGAACCTTTGGAATTTTTTGCTGTTCTCTCTGGGAAGTTTATATCAAACAATCTTTAACCAGATAATAAGAATGAGTACTGGATTTCATTAATAAAAAGAATTCCTAGATAAGGTAACTCCCTCTACCATTGCAGGTTGATACCTTCTCTGTAACTTATAGTTTTACATGTTGCCTAGAGGAATGAAAGGTTAAGTGACTTGCCTAAAGTCCTACAACCAGTATCTATCAGAGGTTGAACTTGAATTGAAGTTTTCCTGACTCTAAGTCAAGTTCTTTGTCTCTCTATGACCTCTCAGCAATATTAATTCAGTTTTCTTTAAATTATAATAATTGTTCAAAGTGTGTTGATTTGTGTTTAAAGATTCTATTCATTCTTTTTGTTTTGTTTTGTTTTGAGGATCTTCTCTGTTGATTTATTTGCTTCTGTAGGTTTTTAATTAGGCTTTCTGTCTGGACTATTTTGATGTTTCAGCTTTTCTCTAATATTTCCTGTCACAGACTCTTTGGACCTTCCTCCTTTTCACAGGTGCACAGAACCTGGAGGCTTGGCTATAGCAGCCCAGCTTCTTCCACCTGAAGAAAGTAAGGGTTGGTAACCTCCAGGGTTAAGGGGAGAAAACTGGTCTCAGCTGGTTTCCAGCCCTTTCAGTAATGTTTATTGCTGTTTCCTCTTAGTATGTGACTCTCAGTGTCACACATAGTATATTTTTGACCTGCATGATTCTTCGATATCCAGAATCAGTGTCTAACATTTCTTATGAAGTCAGGGTGGGAAGAACTGAACAGAATTATTGCCATGGGGAATCCCAGTGGCTTCATCCTAAATCAAAAGTCAGAAAACTTGCTTGAGCTCATTGTGGCAGGCACATGGAAACATTTGAGTTTAGAGATTCTCACTGATAGCTCTAAGTATTTAATGTTCACCAGTTGACACATGAGGTTTTAGAGGGACTCATCTTGTGGTTTTAGCTATAATTATTTTGTAACTGGCACATAATCTCTTTCTTTAGATGTTTTGATATTGAGGAGCTTTGGAGAAAGTTGCTAATCTTCCAAGTTTCAGTGCCACATTTCCATCTACCTGTTAAATGTCTCCACCTGAAGTTCTGTTGGCATAACCAACTTAGCATATCTACAACTGAATTCATTTTTCCCCACAATACATTCCTTTCAACTTTCTTAGTTTTGAAAATGATAGCAACACCATACCAGCTCTCAAGTTGAAGTATTAATCATATGTGATACGTATCTAATCATAAGCTGCTTGGACAAGGACCTTGTGATTTAAAAAAATCATCTTTGCCTTGAACATAGTAGGCATTTTAAAATGTTTATTGAATTTACTTGAATTGGTTAATACTAAAAAGGATTTTTTTCTTAAATTCTGAAATGTAACTTATAAATAATATTCAAGATGTGTCAAATGGATTAAATGGGAGGAAAGGATATCTGGATTTATTAATGGCATAGGTATGTAAGGGTAATGAAGACAGAAATTATGACCATGGGCATAGTACAATATGACATTTCTGCGATCTGTTCAGCTCATAAATGTTTCTGGAATTTGAGCAAAATGTATACTATAAATGTATGTGTAAATTAGAATATAGGTCTTTATTTAACTGACCCCCATTTGTCAATTTCTCCTATATTTCTATGCATTTTAGTTCAGTGTTAATACATTTTATGCTTCTTTGTAGTTCCCATAATTACTTATTCAAATATTGCCTACTTATCCACAATTTAAAGTTTTCAAAGGCTTATCTTTTTAATGTAATGTTCAAAAGTGCTCTGTGAAGGTCATTAAGACTTAAAATTGCCATTTTGAAGCCAAGCTTGAGATTTCATTCTTCATTTAACACAGAGTTTAGGTTTGATTTTTGAGAAGAAAAAATATCACTTACTCAAAAATGTCTTTATGACTGGAGCACTCACTGCCTTATAGGAATTAGTTATTTCTTTTAATTGCATCAGTGCTTCAATCTCATGTGGATTTTTGAAGTCATGTCCAGCTTTGATGTTTTATTAATTTTTTTCAAGGTATTTTTCTCCCTAGAGCTAACCATGCATAGTATGATTTTGTATACGATGAAGATTGTAATTTCTATCTTGGCACACACAGATGCTTTTTGCAATCAGATCTAGAAATGGTTTGATCGTTTTCAAGGAACTTTCCAACAGTTAGCTGTTGGCTGCCAAAGTTCAATTTAGATAAGTGAAGGGGAAGAGTTTAGAAATTTCACACTTTGTGTGATGGGAAAAGCCCAATGTGATGTATCAAAGATGCAGACTACAGAAGGAAAACATGGTTTATCATGAGAATGATGTGCCAGTCTCCAATTTTTTTTGTCAGATTTTGTTCAGAAAAGCCCTTGGAAGTTTGGATATAGATCTTGGAAGGGGCTGGGTGGTGTGGTGTCAGGGGAAAGCATTAGATAGACTAAGATTTTATTACATGAAGCCTATGACATAGATGTAGCATATCAAAAATTGGTCTGTGCAATTTGCCACTGCCAATCTTCATAATTTATGCAGATTGTTGCAGCCATATCTATCATATGGTGTTCCATATTGATTGTTTAAACCTATATAAATGAATTGTTTGGATTATTTTTGCTATGCCGTTGGCTAATGTTTACTGTGTGAAAGAGTGTGACAGTGTTGATTTTTCCTAGTGAACGGCAATGAGTAAAAAGAAAAGCAGTTTAATTATTCTATGCCTTAATTTCTTTGTATTCTTTTAATCTCTAATTCATTTCATAATCATCAAACACACACACACATATGTATATGAGAATAATTATAATCCCCTAAGCAGTATAATAATGAATGGTATGTTCACCTCAAAGCTACTGGATGAAAATTTCTGAAATTTAACAAAGTACATCTATACTGTGGAGTAGGACTTTGGAGTGAGGAAAATCTAAATCCAAATCCTGCCATAGATGCTTACTATCTCTGTGACAATGGGCAAGTGACTTAAGCTGTCTTAGCCTCAGTTTCCTCATCTGTAAAATGGATTTAATAATAGGACCTACCTCAAAGGGTTGCTGTAAGAAACAAATAAGATAACACATGTAAAGTGTTTTGTAAAACTAAATAAATGCCAGCTATTATTGAATATAGAAAATTACAAAAATAACTCAGTGTTTAGAAAGAAAGTCTAATAACAATCAGACCCATTCTCAGATTCTATATGCTATCTATCTACTGCTTAAGGAAGCTCTCTCTCAGTTGCTAGTGCCCTCCCTTCCAAAATACCTTCTCTCTATTGTGTGTGTGTGTGTCTGTGTATGTGTGTGTGTGTACTCAAACATACACAGAGACATTGACTTCCTCTAAAGAACACAAGCTCCCTGAGGACAGAGAGTTTCATTTTTGTCTTTTTACCCATAGGACTTAGCACAGTGCTTACTCAAAGGAGAGGTTCAATAAATGCTTAGTGATTGATTGACTCCGCCCTGACCCTGCCATCCCCATTTCACTTAGCATAAGATTACTGCCATTTTTATTGTCTTTCACAAGTGTAAATCTCTCCCTTTTTCTGCAGTCATGTTTCCTAATACCTCATTCCTACTTTCTAATTTATACATTGTTTACATATGGTCTTACTCAGTAAGTACTTCACTTACTAAGTGAGTAATTGCTTTAGTTATCTTGTTTCATTTGAGGGATGTGTGAAACAATTTTTCTAAAAGAGAAAAAAAGTTCTAAAGCTAAGGCCTATAACTTGATTCCAGTAAACTGAAAAAACAATCCAACAGGAGTACAGACTTTGAAACTATTCAGACAGCTTTTTACAAGTCACCTGAATTTCTGAAAATTCCCACTGTTGTATAGTGTTAAACAATGTACAAAGCAATGGATTTAGTTAGGGTTGAATCTTGTGAATCAATTTTTTCTCTAATATGAAATCAATCACATTTGCATTATCTTCCTTATTGTGAAGAATGCTTTGTAACAAGACTTTTTTTTAAACTTTAAAGCACAATATTTATATGAGCTATACTGTATGTTAAATGCAACTGTCTTAGAGACAATTCTGTAAAAAGATTGCTGGCTCCAGAATACACTATAATAAGCATTTATTAAGCACCTATTGTGTGCCAGGCAATGTGATAAGCCAAATGGAGATACAATTAAAAAAAGAGAGCGTTCTTGCCCTCAAGGGGCTTAAAGTCTCAATGAAAAAAGACAAAACATAAAAGGAAGTCAAAAGTACCTGAATTCAAAATCTGCTTCTGCTGTTTGCAGAACATCAAGATACTTAACCTTCCTCATAGTCAGTTTCTTTATCTGTAAAATGAATGGGTTGTACCAGATGGTCTCTTAAGTCCATTTAATG